TAAACCATCAAAAGAGTAAACAGATCCCTGTACAGAGGCAGGTCTGGAGCTTAGGATGCCTTCTAGAATTTCTAGAACTATCTGGTCATGGGGCAAATGAAGAATGAGTGACAACTCTGCTGACTAACAGATTCCCAGAAAGCATGGAAGGGAGCACAAACTTCTTTTTTTTTTTTTTTTTTTTGCGGCGCTGGTACCATGGATTGAACTCAAGGGCACTTGACCACTGAACCACATTCCCTATTTTTTTTTTTTTTTTGTACTGGGGATTGAAACCAAGGGTGCTTAACCACAAAGCCACATCGTTTTTTGTATTTTATTTAAAGACAGGGTCTCCCTGAGTTGCCGCTGCTGAGGCTGGCTTTGAACTTGGGATCCTGCCATGGCCTCCCAAGCCGCTGGGATTACAGGCATGTACCCCCACACCTGGTGGGATCACTAACCTTTTTTTTTTTTTTGTAGTTGTAGACGGACAGCATGCCTTTATCTTATTTATTTTATGTGGTACTGAGGATCGAACCCAGTGCCTCACACTTGCAAGGCAAGTGCTCTGCCACTGAGCTACCGCCCCAGCCCCAGGACCACTAACCTTTAGTGAGTACTTACTACCTTCTATGGGTTGCTTACAAGGATTAACTATTATTTATTCATTTATTTTTTAATTTTTTTTGCAGTGCTGGGAATGGAACTCAGGGCCTTGTGCATGCTAGACCAGCATTCCACCACGGAGCCACATCCCCGGCCCTGTTGTTAACTCTTTTTTTTAAAAAAAATATTTTATTTTAGTTGGACACAGTACCTTTATTTTATTTTTATGTGGTGCTGAGGATCGAACCCAGGGCCTTGCACGTGCTAGATGAGGGCTCTACCACTGAGCCACAACTCCAGCCCCCCATTATTAACTCTTTAATTCCTCTGAACAACTCTGTGAAGTTATATATCCAGTCCTCTGAATCTGTGGGTTCCACATTTGTGGGTTCCACCAACCACAGATCAAAAATATTAGAAAAAAATCACATCTTTATTGAATATATACAGACTCCTTTTTCTTTTCCTTACTCCCAAAAGAATATGGTGTAACGACTATTTTCACAGCATCACATTATATTAGGTATTTAAAGTAATCTAGAGAGCCAGACACAGGGACAAGATCCCTGTGCTTCCAGGGACTCGGCGACTTACTGAGAACCTGTCCCAAAATATAAAGGGGTGGGGATGTGGCCCATTGGTAGTGCACCACTGGGTTTAATCCCCATGTCACTCACACTCACACATATACACACACACACACACAGATTGAAACTGAAATTGTCGCTTCAGTAAGCCAAGCCCTGTGCCAAACAGTGTTTACAACAATCCCTGGGGTCAGCGACTGTCACAGTCCCATTTCATGAATGAAGAAAGTGAGGCTCAGTGATAAGTTTGTAGAACTGTTGCTCTGGTGAGCTGAGGCACGGGCCATTCATTGGGACCAACAGGAGCTGCAGCTCCCAGTGTCTTGTGGGGTCCTACAGTGGAAGATGAAGGACATGAGAGTTCCAAGTAACCATCAGGGGACAGAGGTAGCTAAGGGATGGCAACCAATGTAAGGGTGTTGGGGGGAACTGGGCAGAGGGGACACGGACGCTGAAAAGGGACTCAGGTCAAATGCAGGGCAGCAGTCTAAGTAGTTTATAGTGTGACATCAGCACTGTACCAAACTTCCCAGCTTCTGGAGATCCTTCTGGGCTGCCCCCTGAACGAACTTCAGCACCCCCTACCCCACCGCTCAGCCTGGGAACAGAGGGACTCTGAACACAGATGGTACTAGACTGCTAGAACCAGTGACCGAGGTTCTGGGAAGACACTGGACACCAGACAAGAGTCAATCTATAAGACAGAAATCTGAATAGTAGTTGCCTGGCAGGCAGGCTGGGGATGCAGAAGAACATTCTAGAATGGTGGCAATTCCATCCTGATTGGCAAAGTTGCATGGGTGTTACAAAAATGTAAAGAAAGCCCACTTTAAAATATGTGCATCTTTCTGTACATAATTATATGCTGTTTTCTTTTGATATTTTTTGGACCCCCAAGGATGCCAAAATCCCCAGATGCTCAAGTCCTTTATATAAAATGCCTGGTATTTGCATATAACCTTCATACATCTGCCTGTATACTTCACAGTATCTCTAGATGACTTGTAATTCCTAATACAATGGAAATGCTATGTAAATAGTCAGTGTAGCCTATTCTTCATGGGATAATGACAAAAAAAAGCCTATACATGTTCAGTAGAGGTGCAATTTTTTTGTAATAATTTCGCATCTGTGGATGCAGAATACAAGGACACAGAGGGGTGACTTGTCTATCTGTGTATGTACGTGTGTGTGTGTGTGTGTGTGTGTATGTATCTAACTATAGGGAACACATGGCCATCGTTGCTAAGTTGGCCAGGGGCGCAGGGGTCAGGGAAGGGCTAAGGGGACTCTCTGGGGATTTAGCTAGAACAGATACCTCTCCATTTAACAACCAGTACAGCCACAGAGATGCAATCCAGCCTGTCCTGTCCAAACATCCCAGCTTCTGGAGATCCTTCTGGGATGCCCCCTGAATTAACATCAGCACCCCCTACCCAGCTTCTCAGCCTGGGAGCAGAGGGACTCTGAACACCGATGGTACTAGACTTCTAGAACTGGCCACCCAGGTTCTGGCAGACACTGGGCACCAGTAGAGGCAGGGAGTCAGAATTATTTCCAGCACTGAGGTAGGTAGCAGAGCGGGGAGTGAAGGAGTGCAGGGCCCAGGCCTTTAGAGGTTCATGTCAGAGGGCTAATGGGGCTTTAGGATCAGAGGAAGTGGCACTCAGGCCCACTAGGCAAGAGCTGGGGGAAAGGATGGGCCTTCAGGATTGAGGTGTGAGACAGCCAAGATCTTAACAGGGCTCTGGAATGAGGAGCACCTTGTCTGGAGGCTGGAGAGGACAGGGAAAGGTGACAAGTGTGCCATAAGAGAGGGGGCCTGGACTGGGGTATGGCTCAGCAGTGGAGCCTAAACTTGCCTAGCATGTGTAAGGCCCAGGTTCCACCTCCAGCTACAAAAATAAAAACAATTAGGAAGAGAGAAGTTGTGGAGATTCCAGGGGATTCTGTGGGGAAGGGCGGGGTGGTGATGGGATCCAGGAAGTAAGGACAGGTGAACAGGGGTCCTCAGTAGGTAAGGCTGGGCATGCCAGAGAGAGACCAGCCATGGAGAAATGGCTGAAGGGGTGCTTGAAGTGGACATCCAGGTTCCCAGAAGAGGAGGACAGGAACCCAGAAGGGGGCCTTGGGCATCTGGGAGACAAGAAATTGGATGCTCAGAAGGAAACCAGCCAGCAGCCTTCCTCACCCAGAATCTCAAGAGATGCCTCTTCCAAGAGCGCAGGCCAGAGAGGTAGATCTCCTGCCACATAGGGCCACTGAGCTCCACTTCACCCCTGTCCGAAGTCAGCGAAGGCATGAAATTCACAGCCTGGTGGGCCTCAGCCATGTCACACGGGACCTGGGGGAGGGCAAAAAGACATTCTCTGGATCCTCAATCCCTCCTCCCTAGACCCAGGGGTCCAGGTTTAAGCCTCCTCCCTAAGACCCAGGGTCCAAACCCAAATCTCTTCTTCCCAGGCCTACAGGCCCCCAGCCCCTTCTTTCAGCTAACCCTGGGAAATAGGACTGTTCACCTTTTCCTAAGCAACTGAGAGGTCTTGAGGGTCCTGGCTGGAGACCTAAAGATGTTGGGGGAGGGACGTCAATTGAGAACCTCTGTGAACGCATAGAGAAGAGGGAAGGATCGCTCACACTAACACCTTTAGTTGCTCTGCAGAGAACGCGAAGCTAGGGCAGTGTCCCCCGCCCCCAGTAAGACTCCGAGACCGTGGGTGGGAGAGGGAAACTGGTCCCGGGTAGTTGGGTCTCGAAGAAAAACAGTTTTAGGTTCATATGAAACGAACACCTGCCGGACGTTGACACTGTCCACCCCATTTCCGCTCCCCACTCCAAAGGGGTGGGCAGGGTCTATAAATTCATCAGCTGCCGGGAGACCCAGCGTCCCTTCCCCCTCCAGGGACTGGAGGGGACCGAGGAGGGAAGAACCTTACTGCGCATGCCTCGCAACCAGGGATGCTGAGGCCGCGAGCGGAGGAGAGCATTGAGGGCAAGGGATGGAGAAGCCCTCAGGCCCAAGCCAGGACGCCGGCCTCCAGCCCCCAGAGCAGCTCGGCCCCTTCGGTTCCATACTTACGCTAAGTCAGGGGTCTTCAATCAGATCCTGGGGACCAAGATCGAGAACATCCCCAGCCCCACCGATTTTGTGCTCAGAGCTCAAGTCTTCCGCTGGCATATGTCCAGTCCGCGTGCGACAAGTACACGACTTGGTGACAGTCGTTCTCCGGAATCCTGCCGAACCCCAGGACCACCCGACACCCAGAAACCACGATTTCGGCCTCGCGTGTGCCCAGCCGGGTATTCAGGTCCCAGATTTTATCCCGCCCCCTTCGGCGCTCGGCCTCCGATCCCCGCCCCGTTCCACTCCCTCCGCGTTCTATCTCCGCCCCCTTCAAAAAATAAGGTCCAATCCCCTTCCTCCGTTGGGTACCCAGGCCTCAATTTCCTTCTGCCGAGCCTGATTCGCCAGTTCGGCCTTCTTTATTCGGCTTTTTTGCTCGGAGCCTGGGATTCTTAAACTTGGTCCTATGGACTAGGAGTTTTACTTTGCTTTCTCTTCGAAGACGAGGCTTGGCTTAGAACTTTCAACCCACCTCGGGGTACAGCGTGATAAGAGGGAGGAGATGCTTGGGGTCGGGTGGGTCCACCAAAACTACCCACACAACCACGAAGAGATGTATGGGTTGATTTGGCACAAAGAAGGCACTACAGCGGATTGAATTCAAGTTACACAGTATGAGGGACTTCCGTTAGGGAAAAGGAACATAGAGTATTAGAAACCCGTCCCAGATTGAGAGGATAAAATGGGCACAGACAAGCAAAGACAAACATGAAACTCTTTGGTTTATTAAGCTCTGGACGTTAGTGTTCTGTCCAGGCTGGTTCTGGGTACAGCCCAGTCGCAGTCTGGAGAGAGGCTGGGGAAGACGACCCCAAGGGGAGAAGAAACTTGGGGATAGTAGCCTTCCTACACAGGCGGACACACTGAAGCCAGGGCAGGAGCAGAGAAGTGCTGAGGTCACCCCATAAGCTGGGCACTGTCCTGGCCCCCTTGCTGACGGCCTGGGTCCTGGGGATGAAGCAGGGCTCCTGCCTCGCGCCGGCGGCGCCCATAGCTATGCGGGTCCTGGGGCTTGCGGCCAGCCTTCCCCGAGGACTCCTTGGTGGAGGCAGAGCGCAGCCAGTATATAATCTCCGGCAGGCGGTGCGTCTGACATGTGCCCAGGGAGCAGAGGCGGCCGCGGTGCTGGGGTACCAGGTGCCAGAGCCGCCTGAGGAGGGAGCGTAGAAGAGCGGGCTCAAGCAGAACCCACTTCAGATATGGTGTGCAGAGGGGCACCCACAACTCCGAGAGTAAGCGGGGCGCGCTTACAGATCGCCTACCCAGCCCGCGGAAGAGGAAAGCCGACTGGAAGAGGGCGCACACCCCTCGTGGTCTCCTTCCCTCCCGCTACTGGCCTTTCTCACCTGCCTGCGGAGGCCGAGTCCCCTAGAGCAGAGGTGAGGAGCAACAGCATGAGGATGTGGGCGGTCATCGCGGTGGGGAGCAGGTCAAAGTCTGGTAAACTGTGGATTAAGCGGGCGGGGTACCGTGGAGGCCCCTTCCCGGATAAACCCTGAGCGCCCACTGTAGAGTGTGAAATCAGGGCGGGTCCCCACTTCCCAGAGAAGACTAAAGCCAAGTGGCACCCCGCGCTAGAGGGGCAGGACTCCACCCTGACCCCTGAGTGTGCAGAGCCATGCTACGCTCCTTAGACCCCCTAAATACGTCAGGAAAGTGTGGCGGGGCAGCTGACACCTGCAAATAGTGACAGAAACGGAGGCGGGTGGGAATCGACTTCACTCTCATCACCTTCAAGGAGGATCCTAGAATCTGGGCGGAAGTGCAGAAGACCAGCAACGTGGGACAAGTGGAAAAGGGGCGTCTGGCCCTGGCATAACCCGGGAAAAGGACTAAGGTGTAACAGGGGCCGTATCTGCAGGTCTGGGGCACCTGCTGCACCTAAGCACGTGTAGCCAGGGCGGTAGAAATTGTTAAAATGCCCTGGCCATCCAGGTGGGGTGGACAGCAGGGGTGGGGAGAGCTACTCTGAATGACATGCAGTGGAAGGGCTGGTGTAGAGTCCACCACCACAGTGAGGCAAAATGCGGAGCTATGAGAAGGAAGTTCCATCTCTGTTAACTGGGTAAGTCCTGCCAGCGACCTCCGTGGAGAGCAACTCCCCAAACCCAAGCTCCAAGCAGAGTTGGTGAAGGAAGAAGGGGCACATCCCCTGCCAAGGAACACCTCCCCACTGCCCTCTTGACTCAGTTTACCCAGGTGGAGAAGACGGGGCCCACTTGTTTCCAGTCAACCCTGCCTGGCCTGGCCTTGGAGGGTCCTGGACAGGAAAAAACAGCCCCAGTGACAATGTGGTGCTGAGAGGGTGGGGCAGGGTTCTGGGAAGCCTAAGGGCCCAGCTGTGCTGGGAATCCAACCCCACCCTCAGCCCAGCAAAACTATAACAGAAGCCCTACCCAGTGGCAGCCCCAAGAGACAACAGAGAAGAGTTGGGACACAGACCCTAGAACTCTGGAGGGCAGAGAGCCCAAGAGACAGGAGCTTCTAGCCTATAGACAAGAGGATGGGGGCAGAGTCCCAGGCATCAAGTCTCAGTCCTCTCAGCTGCTCAGGCTGCCACCTCAGCACCTGTGAAGAGAACCCCAACCCATTCTGCCCAGGACACCACACCAGGTCCCAGCTGAGGATTTATTGGCGTAAATGCAACCATATAAAAACATAAGTTATGAAAAAACACAGTCACGATGTGCCCTCCCCATCCCCCCAGCCCAGGCCCCTAAAACCCCCTTCTGCAGGAGGGAGGGAGAGAAGGGGGACCCCAAAACCGCCTAAGAACGCCGCAGCCCCTGGGCCTGTGCAGGGCCGGCCCGGCGAGGGCAGGAGAAAGCCGAGTGTCGCCTCAGCGCATCCGGTAGTCGGTGGAGCAGGACAGCTCACACAGCTGGCCTTTGAAGTCCAGGTCAATGGTGAAGTCCAGGTCACGCTGTGGGGAGAGGGAGGCTGTGAGGGGCAGGGCAGGTAGAGCCCAACTATGAGGTGCAGGATGCAGACCTGGCACATTCCTGTCCCCAGTCCTCAGAGCAGGCTGTCTTGTGTACCCTCCTTATGGGATCCTTTTAGCCCACTTCCGTGCAAGTGACTCCAACTGAGTCCCAACTCCAACACGTGTCCCAACTCAAGTGACAGCTCCACATGACATCTCCAAGCCCACAAAGTTCCCAGTCAAATCTGCCAGAGCTTAGAAACTGCCGGTCTCCTGAATCACACTTTCCCCCACCCGTCCAATCCCATCAGCAAGTTATTTTTTTCCTTCTTTTTAATGAGGAGAATTTAAGCCCCCATCCTCCAGCTAAACTTTTTTTTCTTTGGAACCTGGTTTTGAACCCAGAGGCACTTAACCATTGAGCCACATCCCCAGCTCTTCTGTATATTTTATTTAAAGACAGGGTCTCACTGCTTAGGGCCTCGATAAATTGCTGAGGCTGGCTTTGAACTCGTGACCCTCCTGCCTCAGCCTCCAGAGAGGCTGGATTACAGGCACCCGCCATTGCACCAGGCCCTCCAGAAAACCTGATGGTTCCAACCACTGCCACCACTTTCCCTTCCCCCAAGCTTCCTGGAAGGCCCCACCCACCCCCAGCTGGCTTGTCTGGCAAGGCTGGGACAAAGTCACCAATAGTCCAAATGACTCTTCTCTTTGTGTATCCATCACTTTAATCTTGGTTCTCCATCTGGGCACCACTGCAATTTAGGGCCAGATTTGTTGTGAGGACTGTCCCAAATACTGTGGGATTCTCAGGTACATCCCTGGTCTCTACCCATGAGATGCCACTTCTCTAGTGACAACCAAAATTGTCTTCACACTGTGACATGCATCTTCTGGGGGATGAAGGGCAGCACCTAACCTCCCCAGGGAGCCCGGCTGCTTTACATTATTGACTTACAAAGTGGTGTGACCTTGGACTGCTCCCAGATCACTGTCACTACCATAGGAGCTCCCAGCCTCATGCACTATAGCCCTGGATGGACACATCCAGCCCTGACCACTCTTCCATCTCCAAATTCTAGAACCTTCATCCTCCCACCCACTTGGCATCTTCCAGCTTCAGAATGGCCATGCTGGGCCTTCCCAATGGTGCCCTACACCTGTCCCCAGCCCCAAGTCTCAGTTGATGGCTCCATCTTGCCATATGCTCAGAAGGAAAAAGGGAGAAAGAAAAACCCCAAATCTTCTCTCTTGTACCCCACACCTCAATGGTGACCACTGGCAGCTCTACCTCAGGCCACTTTGACCCCACACCCAGCTTGACAGAGGGCCTCCATCTGGGGTGTACAATATCAATGTCTCCCTTTTCAAGAACGGGGGCCTCAACCTGATCAAGACTCGGTCACCAGGACCTGGCTTTATAGAGATGGGCTCAGGGACATAGGGACCCGCCCCCAGCAGCTCCCGCAAGCCTCACATTGTTCTTGGCATTGGGCCTCATGCCAATGGTGCCAAAGATCTCCTCTCCCGTCTTCACCGTAAGGTAGTCCTCCATGTAGAACACCGTCTGCTTCCAGTGCGTATACGGGGACTCAGGGCCTGGGGGCGGAGGTGGGTCAGCCACATGTGGCCAGCCTTGGCCTGCTGCCTGTTCCCATCCTTGAGCCTTGGCCCCTGCTTGAACACACACCCCGTGACAGGAAACTGCATGCTAACTGGTCAGCACTGGCCAGGAACCACTTTATCCCCACCAAACCTTGGATACGGGGACTGTTGTCTGTATTTTGTGGATAAGGAAAGGGGGACATAGCACTCAGGTCACTCCTAAGCCACATGGCCACTGGGTGGCAGAGCCAGCATTGGAATGGGGGCTAAGGGTTCCCTCTGCACACTTCTATCAACATACACCTCAAGGCTGGCTGGGGACCACCCGCCTGCCCCCGCCACCATGGGCTCTCACTAGTGGAGAAGCCGGTCCTCTTGTGGCAGCGGGTGAACTCGATGTTGAAGTAGGCCACCAGGGCGTGCACATAGTCGTTCCGCTTCACTTGCAGGCAGAAGGGGGAGGTGAAGGTCAGGTCTTCCACCTTCACGGTGTAGATGTCCACCTCCTGTGTGATAGGCCCTGTGAGCTCCAGCCTGCTCAGCGCTGTGCCCCTGGGGCCGCGCCTTGGGATCCTTTTAGCCCCCACTGGTCTTCCTAGGTAGACTCTGGTCTCGGTGCACTCATTGCTCATCCTGCCTGTTCCTGTTCCCCACCATCCAATCCAGCAGCCAAACACAAAACTTGGAGCATCTATCAGATTCCTCGCCCCTTTCTCTCCCACATCCAGACTCCAACTCTGCCCATAACCCACACATCCCCTTGACACCACCTGCCCAGACGCCGCCACCCCTCAGCTGTGGCAGCCTCCTTACTGGCCCACTGCTTTTGCCCTCACTCTGCCAAGGCCCATACAACCCTTTGAAGACAGTGACCATCTAATCACATCAAACCCCTGCTTAGGACACTCTGAGAGTCCCATTGTTCTCAGGGATTGGCTGGTGGAGTTCCTGCCTTGATCCTTTAATAAGCATCCTCCTAGTCTACGTCAGCCCCTCCTGCCACTGGCTCTGCCTGCATCATGTCCAGTGCAATCCTGATATTTCCTCTCTGGTTCACTGTGCGGTCTCAGCTCACTCAGGGCCCTGAGCTTCCCGTGTTCCCCATGTGCTGTGTTCTAGCTGCCTAGGGAGGGATGGCCCGCAGTGCAGTGCTGTTTGAGGCCCCCAGCATCTGCCTGGCTCACATAGCAGGGCTCAAAAATTTTTAACAGATCAAGTGGCTTCTCTGAGCCTCTAGCACCACCTTGGTGGACAGGTCAGACAGGCTCAGAGATCCCAGGCTGATGGCCAGGTGATGGCCCCTTCTTTGGTTTCAACGCTGGGAGACACCCCCCTACCTTTATGAGGCAGGCATTGGTGACCAGCTGCTTAGGGTCCACCACATCCACTAGGGGCTCCTTGATGGCCACATCTTTGATGCAGGACATGTCAAAGCCATACACGTTCTCCCACCCTGGGAAGGCAGGTGGGGAAAAACGGTGAGCGCGCGGAAGTCCAGGCCCTAGGCCTCACCCGACCCACCCCACCAGCTCCTTGGCCCCGAGCTCACAGTGGATCTTGTAGTCTTTGTACTGTCGGTCCTCGATGGCTGTCACATATAATGTGGCCCGGTCTGGGAAGATAAGACCATCAGGAGCCTGCAGAGGGGTGGAGTAAGCATGAAGGGTGGGGGCTGTGTGTTGCCCCAGACCCTCCTCTTTTAGTGTCTCCGCCCACCCTGTGCTCCCACCCTGCTCTGAGCCCCTGTCACCTCCCACCTGGACTCCTCAGTTGCCCTCACTGCCACCCTTACCCTGAGGTTATTCTGATAGGGTCATAAGAGGGTGCCCAGAGCACCCAAGCAATCCTCAGAACCCTCCCAGACCCTCCAAGAGGAAAAGCAAACTCTCATGGGGACCCAAAAAGGCTCTGTAAGATATGTACCACCCTCCCACCCCTCTCCTCTAATCTCAGCTTCTTCTGCTCTCTGCCCTCTATTCTACATGTCGAGCACACTCTTGCCCCAGGACCTTTGCAGCGGCTGTTCCCTCTGCCCAGAATGCTCTTCTCCCCAGATTTATAGGGCTCCCTCCCAATCTTCCTTTAGTCTCCTCTCCTGCTTTGCCTGGGATGGTTTCTTCTGAATACTAACTTTGTCCTGATGCTCTTTCCTCCCTGTCATTGTCACACCTATTTTGTGCTTTCCAACAGATATGCAATCAACCCTTGTATGCAATTCTCTATTGGAAAGACTTGCGTGGTTTGGATTTTCTCCCTGGACACCAGCCTGTAGGACCTGCATCTCCCAGCCCCACATAGGCCTCACCAGCCACTTGTCACGGGCGTAGAGCACAGTGTTGAGCATGGACTCGTAGAAGAGGCAATAGCCCATCCACTCGCTAATGATGATGTCCACCTTTTCCACAGGCAACTCCACCTCTTCCACCTTCCCCTTGATGATGGTTACCACTGCAGGGTAAAGAGGTGACCACAATGAACCCCAGGGAGGCCAGCCTATGCCCCTCCCCCCAGAGGTCTAGAGCCTGGGACCCCACTGGGGCAGCCCTTGCCTTCAAGACAAAGGGCTGGGGGCTAGCTTGGAAAATCTTCAAAAACCTTAGCAGAACCACAGCATCTTAACTATATTCAAATTCATTATTACCCCTCTGAATTTTTTGTTCTTTTATTTTGCATTGCTGAATCCAGGCCCTTGCACATGCTAAATAAATACTCTACCACTGAGTTACAACCCAAACACTCACTCTGGACACTTTTGAGGCAGGAATAAAAATTTTATATGCCCTGGATATCAAGTAAGGAATCAGTGATCAGTGAGGACTTCCCTTAAATGGAAGAATACTTACAAGCTAGTGATAGGCACTAATGGGTGCATTACAATAGTCTCTTAACTACCCCCCCCTCAAAAAAAAAAAAAAAACCCCAAGAGCTGTGATGTAGCTCATGGCAGAATGCTTGCCTAGCATGTGCCAACCCTGGGTTCAATCTTCAATACTACAAACAAAACAACCCATCACTCCAGTTCCCAGAAGGCTACACATCTGGAAAACCTACCATCTTCTCATGTCCCCACCCCGTGTCTCTGCTGGTAGGAACGCCAAGGCATTTGGCAGTGTCAATCCAACACACTAACTCATAATTTTAACCCAAGAATTCTACTTTTATAAACTGATTATCCACAAATACTAGTTTGGGTGTGAAACAACAGTATGTGCTGAGGGGCAAAAAATGTTCAGAGAGGCTTAAATGCCCATAAGAGACTGATTAAAAAAAACTGAGGGGGCTGGGATTGTGGCTCAGCAGTAGAGCACACTCGCCTAGCTCGGGCGGAACCCGGGTTTGATTCTCAGCACCACATAAAAATAAAGGTATTGTGTTGTGTCCATCTACACCTAAAAAATAAATATTAAAAAAAAAAACCCCACAACAACAACAACTGAGATACATGTGGATAAGAGTAGCTAAGTAGCTGTTATAAAGAAATGCTCAACATCCTTAGATATGTTAAACTACACAATAAGCAGGAAAAACACACACGCAAACCCCCAAAAAGGAACAGACTTGTATGAAATGCTATTTGTGGCCAGGAATGGTGGTATGTGCCTGTCATCCCACTTACTTGGAAGGCTGAGGCAGAAAGATTTGAAGTTCAAGACCAGCCTCAGCAAGACCCTATCTCAAAATAAATAAAAAGGGCTGGTGTGTAGCTCAGTGGTAAAACACTCCTGAGTTTAATTCCCAGTACTGGAGTGGGAAATGCTATTTGTGTAAAAACTATGCAGGTAAATGCAAAAGCATTTATATGAATATCTGCTTATAAGTGTAGAGTTCTCTGGAAGGAAGCATTAATAAACTCAGAGACAACTGAGGGGCACAAGGGAGACTTCTCACCGTGGGCCCCATGACTCTATTTAGAAATCACTTTCTGCCCTAATTTTAAGAATGAAGTGCTAGAGCCAAAGAGTGCATGTGTGTAACCTCAGCAACTTGGGAGGCTGAAGCAGGAGGAATCCTAGTTCAAGGCCAGCCTCAGCAACTTAGCTAGACTCTGTCTCAAAAATATAAAAAGGGCTGGGATGTGGTTCAGTGGTAAACTGCCTCTGGGTTTGTTCCTCAGTATCCCCCAACCCCAAACAAATAAAAAACAAAAAAATAACAAACTCGAGAAAGAAGCCTCAACCTTGCAACTTTGAAACAGATTCTCAGGTTGCTGGGAGCCAAGAAAACCACAGGTAAGGAATAGCCATCATCTCCCACTTCTTTCCTGAGGGCCATGGGGAAGCTGAAATCTCCCACTCCATCCCCACAAACCCATTCTCTTCCTGGGCTCACCATGGTCTAACTTGTTGGCTTTGACGATCTTCACAGCATAATCAGAGATACTGGAACACTCGATCTGAAGGCCCAGGAAGAAGGGAGGGTGAGACCCCCCCAGTCCCATCCTTGGTCCCCATCCCCCTCCATCCAGTCCCTGAACTCCCATGGGCACCCCTCTCCATCCCCCAGACCCAGTCCCACCCAGTGACCTAGAAGACTCACCCCAATGACCTTTCGGGCTCCGGCTTTGGCAGCAAACATGCAGAGGATTCCTGTGCCTGAGCCCACATCCAGGACCACCTTGTCCTTGAAGAGGTGCCGGTTGTGAAACATGGAGTTGCGATATGTGAGGGTGCGTACCTCATCTTTCAGCATCTCCTGGGGATGGGGGATATAAAGTTGTTAAGAAGTCCACATCCACAGTTGGAAAACAGTGCCCTGGCCTCCAACACACTGACAAGTACACAGAACCAGACCTTAGACCTCTTGAAAAAATCATTTCCCTTCTATGCACCTGTTTCTCTACTTGTAAAATCAGACATAATGGAGAAAACTCCCAGATTCTAGCATTGTCACCTAAGCCCCAGTGATCCAAAGCTTTCAAAATTCCTCAGTAGGGCTGGGGTTGTGGCTCAGTGGTAGAGCGCTCACCTAGCATGTGTGAGGCCTTGGGTTTGATCCTCAACACCACATAAAAATGAAATCAACAGATACTGGATGTCCAGCTACATCTAAAAAATAAATATATATATAAAAAACCTCCTCAGTAAAACTGTATGCTTAAGAAGCAATAATTTTATGTTAAGTATATTTTAATACAATTTTACTTATTTTTTGCAGTGCTGGGTATGGAACCCAAGACCTCATACATGCTAGGGAAGCACTCTACCACTGAACTATACACTTAGTCCCCAACTATAAATTTTACAAAAGGCTGAAGAAGGGAATGGGCATTCCTTAGAATGCCACCTCAGCTGTATTTGAGAACTTCGGTCTCAAAGGAAAGGGACTAGAAACCGGCAGGGCAGGAGCAGTTGGGGCACAGCTCCACTGCTAAGTCACTAGAGGGCGGCAGAGGCCCGAAGGCCCTGACCTCCAGCTGAGGTCTCCATACGCATGCGCATTCCCATCCCAGCTGCTGGAAAGCGGCCTGCAGAGAGCCTGGCTAACCTAGGTCTCCAAGGCAACGGCTGGGCGAGACCCGTGTTGTGGGCCTCGCAGGCGCAGTAGAGGGGTAGAGGGATGGCAGGATGCCAAGGGAGGGAGTGTGCATGCATGAAAAATTAACTTCTACCCCTCCCCCAAACCCCCTAAAGATTCGTCAGCCTTAGGAGCAGTCCACACTCACCTCGTGGATGCCAAAGTGGGCGTATGAGTCAAAGTAGTAGTCTTTGGACGTCATATCCTCAGCATTGGGCTTCTCACTGCTTTCTGCCTGACCACAGGAAACCTGGGAGAGGGCAGATGGGAGCATGGGTCAAATCGGGGCTCACCACAGCCTCTTAAACCTCTGGGTCCCTGCTTTTCCCCGAAGAGTAACACAGAATCCCCAGTCATACCAGGACAACCCTACCGCCCCCGCCTGCCATTTTTCCTCCCCAGGAACCCCCAAACCTAACAACCCCATTTTCCACTTCTAGGACCCACCCCAGAGCACCATCCAGGGGAGTACCCCAATACCTCAGCCACGCCTACCATCTCTCCAGACTCTCTGCCCCCGTTTCTAGCTCAGCCCACAGCTGGGGAGGGGAAGGGAAGGCAGAACTGGGGCAGACACAGGGAAGGGCAAAGGGGGGCTGGAAACGGAGTTAAGGAAGTAGCCACAGTACTGGGGGGGCCAGCTGGGAAGCACCTGGAGGGGTCTGTACTAAGTGTTTTGCGGGCATGGAATAAATTGATTTGAAGCAAGAGGGATCACGGTTAGACCTCTGGGAAGGGCCAGATGTGTGGCAAGATATATTTATGTGGAGGTGGGAAAGGGTCTCACAAAAGGATATTTACTTCTTCAAGAGGCGGCTGGAGGCTCATCCCATTAGCCAAGGTGGCTACAAAATTCTAGGAGAGAGTAACAGGGAGAAAGGATTAGCTACTGGGAGTGGCTGGGAGAGGGCCGGGCCAGGGGACCAGGCTCTTTAGGGCAGTGGGTTTCCTGCAATTTTGCTTTTCCTTCATGGGGAGTGGTGGCAGAGGGAGCAAGCTAAGAGGCAGGACTGTATTCAGGAAGGGATGGGAGAGGTGGAAGGAGAAGTAAGGGGGTCTCCTATCCCAGCTGTGGCTGGAGAGATGGCGGCCCACCCCCATGTTGCCCCTCTCTGGCCAGGCAGCTGAACATGTACCCCACCATCCAGTCCAGAGGAACTGGCACAACCAGGCACATGGACACAGCCAGCTGTCGCTCCCCCCTCATCACCTAATCCCCCCAGATTAAGTGACACTTCCTGACACACACCCCCATCCTGGGTGCCAGGAATAGCTGGAGGGAGGGGTCTGGCAGGGAATGCACTCTGGGCCCCTGCCACCTCTGCAAACCAGTCTCTTATCTGAGATAAGAGGTGTGGTACTTAGGCACCCCCACCACAGCTGGTACCCCAGACTCTGGCTCCTGCCTTAGATTCAGGAGGCCTAAAGTAAGCCGGCTGGAACCTGTTTCCTCACTCATTACCCCCTCCTAGGAAGGCTGCATCCCAGGGAATGGGAAATGACAAGGCTCCAGAATGTGCCCTGGGAAATCAGAGCCCATCTCCTTCATTCACACACCCACTCCAGGCCCTGAAGTTAGGTGTAGGGCTAAGATTAAAAATCAATCTCTGGATATTTCCTGTATCCATACGGCCTCTAGACCGGTGGGGGTGGGGGGGACAACCAATGGGTGGGCACTCAAAGAGTGACCACCCCTGGGAGCTACCCCCATTGGCATGTGGCATGTATCTCAAGAACTGACCTCCCCATCCAGAGAATGCTACAAGGTAAGGGGTAGAAGGACAAAATCCCATTGGATTACGTCTTTTTGGATGTGACCACCAACTAAAACTTCAAGAAAGGCCAAGTCACCGGCCATGACCTAGGAGCTCTAAGCCCCTTCTCCAATTCTCCCAAGCCAGTAAGGAGCCTATAAGAAGAGTGGCTGCTGAGGGGATTTCTCCCTGGGGCCCATTTCTCAATACCACCGATATCACCATCAGACAACCTACAACCGGGCCCAAGACGGCTTGAAACACAATACTGGACCCTCCCCCATAGGGCTGCACAAGAAGCAAACCTCACTGGAAACCATTTCAGGTTCCAGGCTCAGGACCCCCACAGGATTTTGGAAGTGGGAGGTCCTACCCTCACAAAAGCCACTGGGAGAGAAAAGTCTCCAAGAGGAGGCAAAGCCTGCAGTCTATAACCCACCACAATTCCTTCCCTCCCTCTGCCCATCCGAGAGGGCTCCAAACAGAAGGTGGGCTTTGGGCCACGCCCCATGAAAAAGATGTCCCTCCCACATACTCAGAAATGGCCACAAGGGGGTGCAAGGCACTTATCGGGAAGGATCTCCACTGTCTAGATGCCCCACCACCACCCAAAGGGAGGTCACAGGGGCATGCCCCATCCCCCCCAGCTCCTAGAGCCCCAGAATGGGGAGAATCGAGGAAAAGAAAAGGGGAGGGGCGGGGGACTAATTCTTCTTCCTTCCATCCCACAGCAGGGTACATGAAACATGGACCGATGCCCCAGCAGAAGCCCCCAGACCCAGGAAGGGGGTTACGGAGGGTCGAGAAGCACTGCCTCTCCCAAGAGACTCCCTACGTCGTGAAGGGCCCCAGATAAATTCTGGTCCAAGGTGGGAGAGTCCGGTCCCTATGGGGGAGGACTTAAGATAGAGGGTCGCAGCCTCCTTCTCGCCCCCCCTCGGGCGCCCCTCCCCCGGCCGGGGGCGGGGCCTTTGTCCTGCACGTGGAGCCCGCCGGGCCACCGGGATCGGCACACCCCCTCCCCACCCACCGCGCCGCGGCCACGTGGGGGCTCGGCCGGAAGCGCCCCCAGCCCTTCTCCACGTGGGAGGGGGAAGGATCCCCTAAGTTCGGCAGGGTGCTGGAAGCCCCTGAAACCTAAGAAACCCCCTACCTCAAACGATATCCCTGAATCTAGGGCATGCGGCGCCCCCTCAGTAAGGTTGGAGACCTTCAGCCCCAATTCGCCGATTCAGGGCCCCTTCCCCACAACGCAGGCATAAAACACCGACCCCAAGCCTTCTCCCGCCCCCAGCGGTACTCCAGGCACTCACCTCCATGATGCAGTTCGCGGCCTCGGCTGCCGCCATCTTCACCCGCAGCTACTCCTCCTCCGGCCGCCGAGACCCCCCCCTTTCTCCTCACTCCCCCGGGACCGCCTTATACCGGAGGGTCCACGGCCCGCCCACCGCAACCCCGCCAGAAAGTCTCATTGGTAATGGAGGCGGCTCATCTGAAAATGCCGCCTAGCAATTCGTTGAAGAAGATGCCCATCAAAGGTCAGGGGCCCACCCAGCTCAGCGTTCACAGCCCCGCCCCCTGAAGAGGACTGGGATGGGCAAAACTACCTGTCTATTTCAAGAAGCCCTTCTGGTGGTTGGGCAAAGGTAACCAGAAACTCCCGCCCCTTCTCCCTGCAGCACCGCCTCAAAGCTTCCCAGCGGGCTCCGCGCTGAGCGGACGTCTGGAAACAGAACTGTCCGTAGCCAAAACGACCCGCCTCTTGAGCACTGCTATTGGTTTACCAAAAGGTGACGTTACGAAGTCTTTGGCCAGCCCTCTCCTAGCTGCTGGCCTCAAGAAGAACATGGCAATTGGTTCACCAGGAGGGAAGAGAGGTCTTTAGGTACCAGCAATTGGCTCAAAGAAACTGTCACTCATCGTCCATTTGGCGGATCCTGGCAGTCCAGGGAGAACAAGGGCGCTTATGCACATTCACCTAGGGGGAAAAAATGAAGTACTGAAAGGCCAAAAGCGAGGGAGGCCTCGTCAGGTGCCCCAAAACATTTCGGGAATGGGAATAAGACGTCAATGCAATTAAACCCAAGCCCACCGCTTACCTTCCAAGTTTTTAAAACCCATCACCTCCTCTCTAGCCGCTTGGCCTTTGCCAAGACCCTCCCCTTGCAGGGAACACCCACCTCCCTTTGTCTGGTCAACTCCTATACCTCTGAGTACAGTTCAGACACCCACTTCTCCGGGAAGCTTTACTCGATGCGCAGAAAAAAAGTGCTAGTTGAATGAAAACGACTTAAAAGGCTGACTTCGTGAACCCTGCTTCTCACGTCTCCTTATGCACCAGTGTCCTGAGTTCAAACTTTTGTCCAGTTCCAGAATGAGCCCTTTTTGTTGAGCTAGGCCTCTGCACAGGCTATACTCCCTGGCATGCTTCCTTCCTGGAAAACTCCTAGCACTTTAAGATTTCCAATATGACTTTGTTGTTACTGTTGTTTGGTACCAAGGATTGAATCCAGAGACGCATAACCACTGAGCCACAACCCCAGTCCTTCTTATTATTTTTTGTTTTTGAGACAGAGCTTCGCTGAGTTGCTTAGGGTCTCATTAATTGCCTAGGGCTTCCGTAAATTGCCACAATTAATCTTTCAATCTGCAATTCTCCTGCCTCAGCCTCCTGAGCCACTGGGATTACAGGTGTGGGCCACCTACTCAGCTCAAAATGACTTCTTTAGTAGCTTTTTGACATCCCTCCACTGTTACTTCCCTGACAGCTTTTCTTCCCTGCCCCAAATCGGAACAACCCCCACTTAGTCAGATCTGTGGGCTATTACTTCCTACAATCTCTCAGTTCCCAGCCCCGCCCCTCCTGCCCCTGATTTGGTGGGTTATCTCCCTCCTGTATCACCAGGCTCCACCTAGCCTCTCTGCCTTTGGTCTCCCCCACCTAACTTCATGTCCCCAGAGCTGACACCACCCCTCCTTTTCTCAAGACCTTCCCGAAGCTCCCAAGCACCCCCAAGTAAATTTTCATCCCTTTAGCTGGGTATTTGCTGCCCCTCCCTCTTTTGACTTCAAACATCCCCCAATCACTGCTGCCTTACTGATACCAACCCCGTTTTGTGGGACCACAGCACATACATATATCTGTACCAATATATTGGCCCCTTTTCTTTGGGAAACTAACTTGTCCTTCAAGACAAGCTCTGTTATCTAAGGTCAATAAATATGGCTCATGCTGAGAGTGCTTACTGGGTGCTGGACATTCTTCGAAGAGTTGAACTAACACATGTAATCACCCTCAGCAACCTACTGAGGCAGGTATTATTATTCCATCCATTTCACAGATGAGGAAATAAGGCACAGAGAGGTAAAGTGACTTAGAACATAGCTGAAGTTGGCCTGCTGGCACACACCTGCAATCCCAATGACTCAGGAGGCTGAGGCAGGAGAATGGTAAGTTTGGGCACAGCCTCAGCAATTTTCAAGACTCTCAGCAACTTAGTGAGACTCTGTCTCAAAATAAAAGGACTGGGGATGTAGCTCAGCCATGGAAGTATTGCTGGGTTGGGTTAAATTCCAAGTATCCCTCTACCCTAAAAAAGAGAATGAAGCTGAATATGGTGGGTGCATGGCCTGTAATCCCACTTTTTCAGAAGTTCACAAATAGGAGGATCACAGGATCAAGGCCAGCTGAGTGGGCAGCTCAGTGAGACCCTGCCTCAAGACAAAATAAAAACAAAAACAAAAAAGCTTTAGCAGGGCTGGGGTTGCAGCTCAGTGGTAGAGCGCTTGCCTAGCATATGTGAGGCACAGGGTCAACCCTCAACACCACATAAAAATAAATAACCTCATTATCACATCCATCCACTGTTAAAAGTATTTTTAAAAAAAGCTTTAGCAAAATCAGCAACAAAAAGTAGAGAAATTGGAAAAACAGCACAATTAAACTGACAAGAAGGGCTAGGGGCATAGCTCAGTGGAAAAATATGTGCTTGGCATATGGTTTGATTGCTAGCACCACCTAAAAATAAAAATAAATAAATTGATCAAGGATGTTTGTTTCCAGTTTGAGAGTTGACATAAGAGCACCTCAGCTGGGAATATGCACACCAGGCAACTCAAATTTTTTGCAGCCCTGTATAAGTATGCTCCTGGAGGACCACAAAAACATTCTGTTAACTCTGGGATTACAAATAAATTTTAGCAAGTAGGTAAATTTGCAAACACAGGAAATATCTGTGAATATCAAGAATCAACTGTATAGGATCCTCTTATGCACTCACAAACATTCTGTGAAGGGGGATATAGTCATAAAAAGGTGAGAAGCTGCTAGTGGCCAAATCGGTGAGGAGAAACCAGGAACAAGACTCAAAGGTAGAAGGAGAAAGACCAGGAACCAGCTGGAAAAACTCCATGACTGTCAATGCAGGACTGGCTGGAATAGCTAAACTGTGCAATAAGAGAAAAAATGTAATTCACTGGAATCATATTTACAAATATCCTCAAATATGTTGCTTGTCCTGACAATAGGTTCCTATCAATGTTCTAAATAAATACTTTCTAGAAAGAATAAATGGGCTCTTTCCTCAATTTATGAACCACAGAGATCTCTAAACCAAATCTCTCCTACTTAGAACTTTAGGGCTGTAGGGCTGAGGATATAGCTAAGTGGAAGAGTGCTTGCCTAGCATGAGTGAGGCTCATGGGAAAAAAAAAAAAAAAGAAAGAAACTTTAGTTCTTCAGTGAATGAACAGCCATTTGATACTTTTACAAGGTTTTAATATGAAAAGTTTTCAAACAAATTCCTTTTGGTATCAACAGGTAAGGCAGCCACCACCCCCACAGAAGCTTGAAAAAGCAAACGAAGAGGGCAGGGGCATGAGGTCCAATCTTGTAGCAGCTTTTGAGGAAGATCTCAGTCCAAGGGTAAGTTCAAGTCCACAGGTGAAACAGCTAGGATGCCCTCCTGGAGGGGAATAGTGGCAGAGTCCTGTGAGCAAGGAAGGTAGCCTCTACTCCCTAAAGCAGGCACATCAGCACAGTGAAATGATAGATAGGGGATGGCAAGGACCCAGAGGAGGGGGACATACACCCAGAAGGGGGTGGGCAGAATCCTGAGATTTAATGATTAAGAGCTGTGGCTTTTTGCTGATCCCAATCCCCTGCATGAGGGACTTTTCCTACTGGCCCCATAAAACAGGATAATGACAAAACCCCATGAGGTTTTTGTGGGGTTTAAGTGGGATCATTCCTTTGAAATACTAGGTCTAATACATGACCGCACTCAAGCTTACCTGTTATTGATCCTGTGAAAAACAAACAAACCCAATTTTAAAAATAAGCAAACGTCATTGCTGATCTCAACACTTATATCCAGTGCCCTTGGTATCTGCCTGAGGTCTGAAAGACCTCTTACATGGACTTCTGATCATCCCCAACTCGTCCCTAAGCTTGCTGCCTGCTCCTCTGCTCACCTTCCCATCACAGAACTCACAAATCTCCAAGACAGTCCTACTGCATCTCAGGCCAGCATCTTTGGCCTAGTCCCCACATCCAGCCCATTAGCAAAACCTGTCAGCTCTTATCTCCTTGGGCTTCTTATTTCTCTCAGGTACCCTATGGTCTGTCTCCCCATCAGCCAACAGAGGGAGCCGATTAACAAGGAAACCAAATACCGGCTCCACTGAGTCCTTGGATCTCTATGAGTCAAAATCCAAGTTCTCAAAGTGACCACAGGCCAGGCAGGGTCTGGCTGTACCTCCTGCTCTCATCTCTTGCCGTCTCTCACTTGCCCACTCTGCTCTAGCCCTAAAGGCCTCCTGTCCGTGCTCCTGAAACACACCCGACTAGCTCCTGCCATTCTGGGAAGCAAACTGAGACTGGCAGTCCTTCTCCCACTGAATCACCATAGTGACCCATAAGACAAGTAACTGAGATGATGCTTACTGATCCAGGGGGCATACTGGTGCTCAAGCAGATGGGGACAGCTGACAAGATCACACTGCCAACATGCCAGACCCCAAACCCATTCTAAGACAGCACTGGAGATAAATCTGTGAGCAAATATAAGGTTAGAGTCCTGGCCTTCTGAAACAGATATGTTAGAGAGAGAGGGAAAGACAACGGACAAAAATCTAGAAGAAAGTACATACAAATCCATTCCAGCATGTGTTAAAGGTGCTGAGTGCTGTGGAAAGACAAGTCAAGACACAAAGGGGGAAGAAGACTAGGGATGAGGGGAGGTAGCTGTGATTTTAAATGCAGGTCATAGGGTGGGGATGTGGCTCAGTGGTACAGCACTTGCCTAGCATGCATGAGGCACTGTGTTCAACGCCCAGCCCACAAAAAATAAAATTAAATAAATAAAAAGTGAATAAATAAATGAGAACCAAGACAGGCCTCACTGGGGATGATATGGGAGCACACCATTAGGAGCAGGAAAGCCAGGCAGGGGAGGGGTTCTCCAGGGAAGGGCATTCAGACAGGCACCACTGGAGAGACAGATGGTAACCACATAATCACACAACCGCATCAGTGGTTTAAGCCAGGCATAGCATCTGCACTTATCACCACAGTGCCTGGTGTACAGAAGCTGCTCAAAAAACATTGTATGAAATAATGGTAGAACTAGGAGCTGTGCAGTCGCAAGGAACCCAATCTACCCTCCCCCATTACATTACAATTGGGTAAAGTTAAGCCCAGAGAGACTTTGGTGGCTCACCCATCCCCCTTGGGCCTGGATCCAGGGCGCGAAGCTGTGCACGTGCTCCACGCTGAGTCCAGCCAGGGTGCCCCCAAGTCGAGCCACGCGCCGGCTTAGCTCCATGGCCAGAGCCAGGCGAGCCAGGGGCTCCGGGGAAGGTGGCGGGGGCCCAGGGCACGGACTTGTGCGGCTCGGGCAAGGGCTGCCCTCCCGGCTAGAGAAGAGCTCCACTAGGCGGGCGAAAGAGCCTGCAGACAGGCGGGCCAGCTTGCGGCGCAGGGCTGGGTCGGAGGTCAGCTGTGGGATGCAGAGGGGAAGAGGCAGGGTAGGCCTTAGTGCATTCTACAGTTAGCCAACATGGGGCTGGGGCAGTGGTTTCCTAATTTGGGCCAGTTCTAGATGCTAACACTAAGCCACAGCCCCATCCATCATATAAACCAATCATAAGCCAGATAATATGGTTTGGACCAAATTGCTCCCAAGAAGCAGATCAGAATCTAAGAATCTAAGCCACACCCTGCCTAGTTCTTAACAGCCAGTCAGAGTGAAGTCCTACTTTAGGGGTTTCCAGAAGGCTAACGTTTTAGTCACACCTCAGCAATCTTCTCTAGAGTCCTGTGGGCCAGGCTATTGTCTACAAAAACCTCTCTCGCCCTCTGCCATATAATTAATGTTACAGAACCATATAAATTGCCCAGGCTCTCAAGCCAATCAGATTCCAGGACACAATCACAAGCCACATCCCCTCCAGCTGTCCATTTCCCCCCACATTCTAAACCATATTGCTACTGTACTGAATCAGATATTATTGTTATTATTGGTGGAGGTAGTAGCAGCAGTAGCAGCAGCACCACCACCTCACCACCACTACAACCACCTCCACCACCAGGGATTAAACCAGCAGTGCTTAACCACTGAGCCACATCTCTGGCCTTTTTTTTTTTTTTTTCTTTAATTTTTAATTTTGAGATAGGTTCTGGCTAAGTTACTAAAGCTGGCTTTGAACTTATGATCCTCTGTCTTCAACCTCCCGAGTTGCTGGGATTATAGGTGTCCATCACCATGCCCAGCTAAATCAGATTTTAGATTAATGTGCACACGCTCTTTCTCTTACTTCCCCAACCTGGCCCAAATCTCCTAGGTGATGTTTCCTTGTTTTATTTGTTTCTTTTTTTGGGGGAGGGGGAGGGTAACAGGGGATTGAATCCTGAGGTGCTTAATCACTGAACCAACATCTCCAGCCCTTTTATTTTGAGACAGGGTTTCACAAGGGTACTTAGAGCTTACTAAGTTGCTGAGGCTGGTCTCAAATTTGTGATTTTCCTGTTTTAGCATCCTAAAGCACTAGAATAGAGGAATGTACCACTAAGCCTGGCTCTCCTGAATCATGTTTCTGATGGCCACATCCCCTGCATTTAGGCAATGCCTTTCTAACAGCCAATGAAAACCACTGTCATTCAACCCTTCCCCGTCCCACTCTACCCGACCTGACCATCCAAAGAAAATGCAGATCTAACTTCTGATCCCAGTGTCCCATCATCCCACAACTCCTGTCCTTATTAAGGCACACACAAAAAAGGCCTATCACCTTCTGGTTGATGACCTCTGCCTCTTCTTCCAACAAGGTCACCAGCTTTCGCAGCAGGACTTCCTTCTCTGTGGTTGGCGGACCCTGTAACTCTGGGACAGAAGAGAATTCAATTCGGGGAAGAACCCTGGCTGTCCTCCTACCATCATCCTTCTCCAGGGCTTCTCTGTACCTCACCTGGGCTAGGGGGAGATCTCAGTTGCTCTTGGACCAGCTGTTCCAGCCGCTGGGCCACCAGGGCATAGAAGTCTGGAGTAGCTGGACCTGAAGTAAAAAGCCAATGACTCTGGAACTCTAGGACATTGGAAATTTATGGATTCTCTTCTTTTGACTACCTTGTCAGTTAGGAATGATTTCCTTCTTTTGGGGGAAGCAATGGTGATTGAATTCAGGGGGCACTTTACCACTGAGCTACATCCCCAGTTCTTTTTTGTTTATCTCGAGACAGGTTCTTGCTAAATTGCTGAGGGTCTTACTAAGTTGTTGAGGCTGGCCTTGAAATTGCAATCCTCCTGCTTCAGCCTCCCAAGCTGCTAAGAATACAGGCATGCACCACTGTTCCAGGCTAATGATTTTTACTTTATAATGGGGGTAAGATGAGGCTCAATGAGAAAACTTGATAATAGATGCCAAAATTCTTATACTTACTACTTTACCATGTCCTCCAACTGAACTTAGAATGTCAGACCTGATCTGAACTTTGAAGATTACTCCATCCAAGGAAAGGACATATATGGCATTCTTGATATTATTACCCTATCCCTTCCCCAGTTCAGACATCATCAATTAATTACAACACTCATCTTCTTAGCTGCAAATTCCTATTCATGCTAGTACTCCCAGCTGCCATTACTAGTGTATCCAGGCTCACCTATGAAAAACAAGCTATTGGTCACTCCTATTCAAGTCCAATGACCCCCTACCCCATTCTGACTCTGCCACTGGAAAAACTGAACAGCAGAGAGGAGAAATTACTTTTCCTAATCATACAACCTAATAGCCAGGAAGTTGTAGTTGAAAACCAGGTCTCCTGCCTCTCTATTAAGGATATTTGTAGCTACAAAAGGAGCTTTCCTAGGAATCAGAAAAGGATGCATGGAAGGAGGATAATAACTAGCTAGAAAGGGACCAAAAGTTCCAATGAATTGACAAAAATACAGCTGGGAGTTGGGGGAGGACAGGATGGTTAGGATTGGTACTAGAAATCCCATATCCTTCCCCCTTAGTTGAGTAATCTCAAACTAGTACCTTATCCTATCTACACTTTAGGAACCAAGGCTTTTGGCTGTGTCTCTTTCACAGGTGATATGGGGCAATCTCTTACCAGGCTCTGAACCATAACAGGGGCGGAGGGGCAGAGAGCAAGGCCTGGGGGAATCAGAGGGAGCAGCTCCTCGCCTCAATGGACACGGAAGACATCTTCGAAGGCGACTCAGGAAGTCTGTTGGCTCCTCTTGGGCAGGGCTTCTAGGAAGGAGGACCTGAGAGAGTGATCCCAGAGATCTCCTGCAAGCAGATCTCCTTTCTCCTACAAAGGACATCTCCTTGCAACTCCAGGAACAGGGAATAGAGCCAGACGTGTAGAGACAGGCTGAGACCAGGCACAAGAGTTACAGAGGTCCTCAAACCAAATGCAGGCCCTGGGTAAGGACGGCAACTCCTCTTACCTGGGTGGAGTTGGGATGGGGGACCCAGAAGCCTCACCCCGCCTAAGGAAGGCAGCTAGAACCCTCAGCGTGTCCTCCCGGAGCCCCAGCTCCTCTGAGCCTGCCATGGAGGCACCTGTGTGAGAGAGAGCTAGAGAGTGACTCAAGGTTCACAGGGAAGTGGAGGCTCAGACCCAAACTTCTAGTCTTCAATGAAGAGGAGGTCATGACTCATGAATCTCCAAAGGGAGGAGGGTGCTGGGGGTCTGGACTCCTGGGTCCTCTAGGAGAGTTGAGATCTTGGAGCCCCAGAGGGAGAAGAGGGATGAAGCCTGACTCTTTTACCCTGGGAAAGGAAGTGGCTGGGGGCCTAGATTCTTGGATCTAAGAAAGGAAGTGTCTAGGGACTTGGAATTCTGGAGCCCCGAAGAAAAAGGGGGCTTAGAGCTCCGACTCCTGTATACTGAATGAGGCATACACTAAGCTTCTGAAGCAATTGGAGGATCGGGTACTACCAATCCCAGCAGGCTTAGTAGCAAGCGTTCCGCGCTGTCCGCGCTTGTCCGCCGCACAGCCTGCTGGGAGTAGTAGTTCCAATTGCCCGAGGCTGGAATCTCGGGGACCCACAAGCACTTGGATGTCGGAGGAGACTGGCGCGTCCGCTCCTGAATCCCTGTCCGCTCCTCTTGCCTTCTCACCCCAGTCCTTGACAAACCCTGCTTACCTGGTTCCGGCCTCCAGCGGCCGCCGCCGTCCCCGCCCCCACCTCCGCCTCCGAAGGCACTCACGTTACACACAAACTTTTAGCAGTTCAACTTTCCCGCGCCTGCGCACTGAGTCGATTTGGTAACTGCCCCAACGTAGAAGGGGCGGGGCGCTGAATCTCCGCCTAATTTGCATATCGCGTTCCCAGCATGCCTTTTTACGGAAGACCGAAAAAGGGCATTAGGTGTACTGCCTCGGTTAGTCGGACCGCCCCTTTGACTTTTGGGTCTCTTAACCAATGAATGATAGTTGTTTTTATCTCAAGAAATCGATAAAAAAGAAAGTTCCTGCGCTTGGAAACTTAGCTGACAGGAAGAGGGGTGCGCAGCTTGGAGTCTAAGAACTACACCGCAGCAACCCGAAAGCTCCGATCCTTCCGCGGTACGTAACGCGGAAGAGCTAGGGAAAGAATTGGTGGCCTTCGGTAGTGAGGAACCGGAAAGGAGTGATAGTAGGAGAGGAAGGCTGAATACTCTGGGGAGAATGGGACAGAGAAGGACCTCAATGGCTGACGTTGAAAATCTGCTATGGAAAAATTAGAAAAAGCAGCGAGGGAAGAGGAGAGAAGGCATCTACACTGGGGGGACATAGGGGAGAAAAGGGTGGATTCTGCAAATAGAAGAGAGTCCACTTTAGAAATTGGTTGGTGAGCCCTGAAGGATAGAGGCAGATTGGGGGAATTGGATGGAGCCTCTGCGCTGGAAATGGAGAGGGGTATTTTCTGTGGGGTAATTGAGGAAGGGGGTCTAGACTGGAGTCAATGCAGAAGTAACATCTGTACTGAAATAACTAGCGAAGGAGAGCTGCACCCTAAAAGTTGGGGAACCTGCTTTGGATGATATTGGTGAGGAAGGGGTTTACAATAGAAAAGAGAAGGGTCGTCGCTGGCCGAATTGGGTCAGAGCGGCTGCACGCTTGGGAAGGAAAATAGGTCTACACTGATAATGGGAGCGAGTCCTTGGTGAAAAAGGGAGCCTTCTGGAGGATGGAAGGATAGGAAGCGATCTCCTCTTTGTACTCCAAGAAGACAGGTAAAGGGCCTGCACCGTGGCCCGTGAGAGGGAGGTGGGTCCGGGAGGCTGCCCGCGCCCAGGAGCTGCCTTGTGCGCGCAGGCCTGACCATGGGAACCCAAAAGCCGCGAATCTTGCCCTGGCTGGTGTCGCAGCTGGACCTGGGGCAACTGGAGGGTGTGGCCTGGCTGGACGAGAGCCGCAAGCGCTTCCGCATACCCTGGAAGCACGGCCTGCGACAGGACGCGCAGCAGGAAGACTTCGGCATCTTTCAGGTGCATGCACCAGGGGCGCTGGAAACCCTTAAGGCTGAGGGGGCGACTGAGAAGGCGGAGAAAACTCCCGGTGGGGGCGGGTAGTGCTAATGATGGTGGGTGGAGTTGGAAGGGAGGGGCGGGACCAGCAGGCTCGGTTGTCTGATGGTGAAGAGCGAGCAATAATGGAACAGGCCGGGTTCTGGGAATAGAACTGGGAAAGTGGGATTAGAGCTTTAAGGAAGTGCATCCTGCAAGTTGAGAGATCACTGGGGATGGGGCTTTCAGTTACAGAATTCTTGAAATATTAGACGTGAGACTTTGAGCTCTAAAGACGGGGTTATAACCACCAAATTGACACACTAGTGGTGGTAAGTCATTAAGAATGTGAGGGGAAAGGGTGCCGTGGTGGCACGCCTGTAATCCCAGCGATGTGGCAGGTTGAGGGAAGATTGCAGGTTGAGGCCAGCCTGGGGAATTTAGGGAGACCCTCTCAGAAAACAAAAAAGTCTGGGGATATAGCTCCGCGTTACAGCGCTTGCCTGGCATGCCAAGCCTTGGGTTCAATCTCCAGCGCCCTGGGGGTGGTGTGGGGGTTATGAGAAGGTAAGGGGATGTGCCACAATGAAACCTACTATTCTGTATAATTAATATACACCAATAAAAAGATTGTGAAGTGTCCGTGTTATCACAGAGGTACCCTGGGGGAGTGAAGGTCAAGTTAGACAGCTAGTAGGACCTAAAAGACTGGCTTAGAAAGTCAAGGTTTTTGAAGTTGAAAGCTGGAATCAGGAGGTATGGGTGGGGATGAGAGAGAAGCTTGGGGGTCAGAGAATTGGGGATGGAACCTTAGGGAATTGGAATTTATTGTGGGGGGAGGTGTTAGGACTGGAGGAGGCAGGGGTAGAAACCTAAAGGTGGGGGTCTAAGTCATCCTCCTCACTACCCTGATTCCACTGGTGCCCTAGGCCTGGGCGGAGGCCAGTGGTGCCTACACTCCTGGGAAGGATAAACCTGACCTGCCGACCTGGAAGAGGAATTTTCGGTCTGCCCTGAATCGGAAGGAAGTGTTGCGTTTAGCTGAGGATCGGAGCAAGGACCCCCATGACCCTCATAAGATCTATGAGTTTGTGAGCACAGGTGTGTCAAAGCCCGGCTTTTCATGGTGAGCTGGGATCTGGAGGGTCTTTCGCACCCTCTTCTACTCACTCCCTTTCTCCATAGGAGCTGGGGACTTTTCCCAGGTTGATACCTCTCCAGACACCAGTGGTGGAGGCAGTACCTCAGACACCCAGGTAAGAATGCATCCAACCCTCTTGCCCCTTAGTCTCTTGCTCTGCCCCCCTAGACCCTTCTCCCTCCCAGGCTTCCATTCCTCCCCTCCAGCCCACCTCCTGCCTGTCCAAGAAAAGGCGATTGAAATATCCACTTCTTTTTTCCTCCAGGAAGACATCTTGGAGTTACTCAATGACATGATCTTGGCCCCAGTCCCAGATACGGGCCCCCCAGGTTTGGGTGTGGTCCCTGAGCACTGCTCTCAGCTCTTGTTGAGCCCCAACTTGGAAAACCCCATGCCCTGTCCAAACCTGGCACCTCCTGAAAACCCACTAAAGCGACTGTTGGTACCTGAAGAACGTGAGTACCAGCTGGGGGTGATAGGGGCTGTGGCAGGGGCCTTGGGCACTCACCACCTCTCCATCTCTCCCCTTTCTGTCCTCCGCTGCTGCTGCTGCTCAGAGTGGGAGTATGAAGTAACTGCCTTCTACCGGGGCCGCCAAGTCTTCCAGAAGACCATCTTCTGCCCAGGGGGCCTACGGCTAGTGGGCTCAGAAGCTGGGGACAGGACACTATCTGGACAGCCAATAACATTGCCAGACCCTGGGGTTTCCCTGACAGACAGAGGAGTGATGGGCTATGTGAAACGTGTACTAAGCTGCCTAGGAGGGGGACTGGCACTCTGGCGGTCAGGGCAGAGACTCTGGGCCCGGCGGCTGGGGCACTGCCATGCATACTGGGCTGTGGGCGAGGAGCTATTCCCTGACAATGGGCATGGGCATGATGGTGAAGTCCCCAAGGACAACGATGGAGTTGTGTTCGACTTGGGGCCCTTTGTGGCAGGTAAGTCCCCTGAATGGAAAGCAGCTGGGCATGGTAGTTGAAGGCTCTGGGGTCAGGCAGTTTGGGATTGATTTCTGCACACTGGGGCAAAGAACGGGTCTGCTTTGTCAAGGCCAAGGACTGATTGCCAGAGCTGGTTTAAAGCACAGGGCCCAAAACACAGAAGGTGTTCAGGACATTAGCTACCGTTTTCATCATCATCGTTATAGTGCACACACAAACCAGTGGTAGGGCTAGGAGTGTACCTCAGTGAGGAGAGCTTGCCCAGCATACTGAGGCAATCCCCAGCACCACCACAACAAAACAGATAAACAGGAAAGAGAAAGTCATTAGGACTTCATTCTGCAATATAACTTTCTACAGTGATGGAAATGAACTGTTTTTGTGCTGTCCAGTATGGTATCCACTAGCCACACGTGAGTTTTGAGCACCTAAATGAGCCAAGTGCAACTGAGGAATCTTATATTTTATTTCATTTTAAATTAAACAATTTAAATATTATAGTCAAGGTGGCTAGCTACATATTGGACAGCATAATTTGGGGATTAAGGAGCAGTCAACACCAACTACCTTCTACTCCACACAGTATCCTTGGGGACATAGACTCCCATGCTCTGGAACTAGTTCCCCTCCTGAATCCTGGGGTACTAGGGTGGGGTGAGGGTGGGGCAGTCTTCCAGCACTACCCTGATGGGAGTGGAGGGAGAACACTTAATTTTAACATTGCAGGGACTGTCCCCACTCTGACAGCCCCTTGTCATGGTGGCAGACAGAGGGTCTTGGGTCAGGGAGGTGGTGGGGTTATTACTTGGGTTGAGCACAGTTGGGTGGATAGTGGGTCTTTTTCCCTTTCCTAATTAGGATTCTGAACCTTCAGATCTGATTTCCTTCATGGAAGGAAGCAGACGGTCACCACGATACACTCTGTGGTTCTGCATAGGGGAGTCATGGCCGCAGGACAAGCCATGGGTGAAGAGGCTTGTGATGGTCAAGGTGCCTGGATTCTGTGTTCCTGGGGCTGGGAGTGGTGGTCTTACAAAGATAAGAGGGTACTCCCAGGAACTTTGGCTTGCAGAATCCCCTATGAGAAACTCCTGTTTAAGTGCCCCTGCCATCACCAGTTCCTCATCCCCAGGAGTTTCTGGGTATCCTTTGCTTGGCTTCACCCCCACAGCCTGTTTTGAACTTTCCAGATCCTATAGAAGTTGATAGACAAGTCCTAGTGGAAGTCTAGTGGTTGAGTGTTTTCACTGACTTCTTTCTCCCCTGATCCCACAGGTGGTACCCACATGCCTCAGGGCCCTGTTGGACATGGCCCGATCAGGGGGCGCCTCCTCACTGGAGAATACCGTAGACCTACACATTTCCAACAGCCACCCCCTCTCCCTCACCTCCGACCAGTACAAGGCCTACCTACAAGACCTGGTTGAGGACATGGATTTCTAGGTCACTGGGGAGGCCTGAACCCTGACTCTTCACTTTGACCAATAAACCATTTTCCTGCTACAGCCATCACTTGTGTTTCTGGTATTGGATGTTCCAGAGCAGCCCTGACCTTCAGCTGGTTGTTATTCCTGCTGGGGTCTCAGTTTACTTTTCTGTGCAGTTATCATAACTAAGATGCTCAATGTGTGGAGACCAGGCACCATGCAGGGGACAGCTGACTCTCAATTACCTCTTTGTTTCTTACTAGGGACCTGATAAAGAGATGACAGTCACCCCCATTTTACAAACCAAGACACTGAAGTTTGGAGAGATAGAGGTCACAAAGTGAGAAACAGACTGGGTCAGATTCCAGGGCCACCTCTGGGCCTATACTCTATGAAGGACACCCAAAGGCCCTGTCTTGCCTATGAATAGTTTGGGCAGATGTCCCTTCTTTCTGGGCCTAGGGCTCCCCTTTGTTGAGAGCCAGAATGGAAAACTGTGAAGGGGCTCAGCACCTACCCCTGGAGTCTCTGAAACCTGTGTATCCCAGTGACCCTGGGTCCTTCCACTCCTCCTAGCTGGGCTGCTTTTCTGGGAAAGGGGAATGACAGAAGCCGGGGTAGCCAACTCACCATTTGGCCTACCTACTTTATGCCTCAGTCTCCCTCTCAGGAGAGAGGATTAGATCACCCCAGCCTAAAATGGCCACTGAAAAGAAAATTCAACACGATGGGGCAAAGATCCTGCATTTGGGGACAAATCCAAGGGAGCCAAAAAAGCACCCTGATGCCCTCAGCTCAGAAGACATTGGGGACATGTCTAGACCTTCCTTCCTATCACCACCACTTTTGATCAACAACTTTTGATTATTATGCTAAATGCTTCACCTGCTTGTGACTTGTGTAATCCCACAGTACCCACTTTACAGATAGGGAAACTGAGGCCCAGAGAGGGCCATGCCCTTGCCCTAGGTCACATAGTCTGGTCTCTGCTTCCTACACTCACACATAGGCCAAGACTCCTGAGTATCCCTCCCTAACTCTCCTAATTTGTCTCTGGGGGAAAAAAAGCTAAAATAATGGGGATGGGGATAACATTTCATGAAATCTTTAATGAAATTGGGGGAGGGACACGAACAGAAGGGAGAGGAAATGGGGACAGGCTTGGGGCAAGGGAGATGGGCAGAAGCTGGGCAGGGCAGGGGCTCTCCTCTTCCCTGCAGCAACCCTCCCCCAATCATCCCACTGATGGGGGAGGGAAGGAGGGAGACGGAGCCATAAATATGTCCAGAATCTCAAAGAGGCGAAGGGTAGAAAGAGTGGCTGTGGTGGGAAGGGGGGTCTCAGAGAGGAGGGAGGGGCAGGCCTGGGCCACCCTTGTCAGGGGGCCCTGGCTCCTTGGGCGGCCGGGGGGGCCCTGGAGGATCCCCAGGCTTGCGGCCGTGTTTGCGGAAGTAGCGGTAGCGCTGGACGTAGGCCCGTACCAGGTTGCTCACCTTCACTGGGTTGATCTCACCGCTTTTGCTGTGGCAGATCTGGGAAGCCAGGGGGCACCTGGAGTCACTGCCAGCCCCCTGCAGCCCCCTTCACCTGGGACTACTGAGCAGCACAGTTTGGGCCTGGGATGGGAGCCACTCCCCCAATGACTAGACCAATGCCCACACTTGGACCTGCTAACAACGGGTTCCCCAGTTGCCAAAATGAGCCCAGGTGGCCCTGAGGAAATCCTGTCATCCTCCTCACCTGCAAAACCACCCCCTCATTCCCATCTCCCCACGTGCATACGTCAGTCTGACAGATCTCGCTGCAGCACCTGCCCCCCTGTGCACCCCACCTTGTGGACAGCCTTCCTCAGGATGTCCTTGTATTCCTCCTTGGTAATGTCCTTCTTCTGATAGTACGGCTTGATGGCCAGCTTCACCTCTTCCACTGCCCGCTCCTGTGTGTGCAGCTTCTTCAGATACTGGTGCATTGGTGACAGGGTAGGAGAAAAGGGACAGCAAGGCCCAAATGAATGCCTGTGGAACCTCCAGGCCTCCACTCACCTCTGCAAGCCAGCTTAGCCTCCTTGACCATCTAGCTAGGCCCAACCACACTGGCCCACTGGCAGAAGAGCTAGGAGGTAGAAGTCCTATTTAGGGTCTGCCTTGTGTTCTCTTTGCCACAGTCATACTAGCCCACTGGGCATCTCTACACTAGACCCTAAGCTGTCCCAGGCCTGGTCATAACAGGACACATGTATCCCCTCCCTCACAGTCCAGTGGGGAGATAAATGTTAGCCAAGCAATTACAACCAGAAAAAAAAAAATTTTTTTTTGTGGGGGTGGTGCTGGGGATTGAATTCAGGAGCACTCAACCACTGAGCCACATCCCCATTCCTATTTTGTATTTTATTTAGAGAAAGGGTCTGAGTTGCTTAGCACCTCACTTTTGGTGAGGCTGGCTTTTTTTTTTTTTTTTTTTAATATTTTTTTAGTTGTAGATGGACACAATATCTTTTATTTATTTATTTTCACGTGGTGCTGAGGATAGAAACCAGTGCCTCACACATGTAAGGCAAGTAAGTGCTCTACCATTGAGCTACAACTCCAGCCCCAAGGCTGGCTTTGAATTCGTGATCCTCCTGTCTCAGCCTCCTGAGCCGTTGGGATTTTAGGCATGCACCACTGCACCCAGCCAAACCCTTTCTTTTTTTTTAAATATACATGACTTTTCCTAGTTTTTTTTTTTTTTTTAAATATATATCTTGGGGCTGGGATTGTGGCTCAGGTAGAGCGCTCGCCTAGCACGTGTGAGGCACTGAGTTCGATCCTTGGCACTACATAAAAATAAAATAAAGACATGTGTCCATCTATAAATTAAAATAAATATTTAATATATTTATTATTTTATTTATTTTTTATATGGTGCTGAGGATCAAACCCAGTACCTCACAAATGTGAGGCAAGTGCTCTACCGCTGAGCTCCAGCCCCCAGCCAACCACTTTTAATTAAACTTTTTAGGGCTGTGGTATGAAAATGTCACAAGATCTTCGGCAAGGTGGTGGTGAGTCCCGGTTTGGGTTTTCATAACCCTGCCCTGACTCCTGATGGATGGCAAGATGGTGGGGCACTTAGGGGAGCCAGCATTCTGGCAAGAAGCAACTCAGGTTGTATAGATGGCACACTGGCACTGGAGTCCTGGTCTACCACTCCTGTAGGCAACCAAACTCTGTAGCTTGTCTGTAAAATGCCGCAGTACCTATGGGAAGGACTAAGGTGATGTTCACTGAGAACACAGCACAGGCTAGACACAGCATGGACTCAAAGGGAGCTGGATTATTGGGGAATAGGAGAGAATGTTGAGCCTCATAGAAGAGGCTCTGCCCTGGCCAGCAGGCTAGAAGTCTACACAGCAGAGCTGAAACAGTGGCACCCCTGCCTCAGTGAAATATTTGCAAAAGTCGCTGGGAATTGCCAAAAGGGGAACAAATATTGTTCAGCAGAGGCCCCCTACCAAGCACAAGAGACAATCCCTTAGCAACACCACCAGGGAGGTCCCTTTCCTGATCCAGACAACTCTAGCCTCTGCCCCAGGACCAAAACACATGGGAGCAGGCAAAGGATCCTGGGAAGAGAAGGGATATATGGCTACAGTGGGGCAACATCTTGGATGACATGGCCACAAGGATGCAAACTGATGAGCTGCTGGGGAGCTCTATTGAAGGACTTCTCAGGTTTTCCCAGCCCAACAGAAAGTGGGTTTCTAAAGAGATACAGTCAAAAGAAAGAGAATGTTCCTCCCATCCCAAATGTGGAAACAGAAGACAGGAGAGGACAGACCTACTGTCAGAGCACCACAGCACATAGCACATGCCATGGACAAAGACCAGCTACACTATGGCCCCAATGTTTCTCACATGGGGATTTCTATGGGGCTTCATCTGGCTTTCCCTTTGGCACCCTCTACTAGACAGGTAAGGGTAGGCAGGGTTATTGGATGAGAAAGACATGTAGCTAGACCTGACCTAGCGGTAAATAGCTTCTGAGCCCCAAGAGTAGGAACTGAAAAACCCATGTCTGTATTTGCCTGGCAGCCATTCCTCTTCCCTTTATCTGGGAACATTTTCTTGACTTCTTTTGAAAATAACCCCCTCCCACTTACAAAGAGAAAGAGGGCAAGAGAACAACAAGTAACTGAGTGGCAGACTTGTCTGTGTGTGACTGTGTACATGTGGGTATATTTACATACACACACATATTCATAATGTGCTATTAATGTGCTATATATATATTATACATGTATTACACACACACACATACAATTTTCTTTAAAAACCTGCCAGCCCCCTTTCCCATTCATCCATTCTAGTGGAAATTTAGTTTCTTATTATTTAATAACTGATTAATACACTTCTCCAGGGCCCAGCTCACCTTGTCTGTGTCCCCTCGTCCCTCGGAGCTGCTGCTGCCCTCTCTCTTGTCAGATGCAGCGGCCAGCCCAGTGGGGGTGGGTGGCGTAGAGCCACAGCCCCCCAGGGGGAGACTGCCAGGAAGCAGGTAGCTGGAGGGGCCAGGTGGTAGACCCAGAGAGGTGGGCACAGGAGCTGGGGCCACCCCCAAACCTGAGGGTGGTTTCCGGTGGCTGAGGATCTGTGGGAAAAGGTGGCGGGTGGGAGGCAGGGAGAGTTGCACAAGATGAGCAAAGAGTAAAGGGAGGTGGAAGGGAAAAAGGAACTTATACCCTCACTGTTCCCACCCTGATTTTCCAACACATCTAGGGCAACACGGTCCTCTTCTGGCCAATACCTTGCCCCAAGGCCTGCTGGGAGTTGTAGTTCTTCTCCTAACCAGAGGCAATGGACAAAGGAAAGGTCTGTGGGGACTCTTCCCTAGGGAAGCCCACCTGGTTGGTGGCCTGGATCAGCTCCTGGGCCTTCGCTCGGCTTGCCAGGTTGGCTTCTTCCATCTTGAAGAGAAGTGCAGTCACTGCAGGAGGTGCAGAGGTAATGACATAGACATCAGGAGATAACAGGAAAGGAGATGGTGAACCTCACCTAGCCACCTGCTACTTTCTCCCACCCTTGGCCTGTAAGCCATAAGGCT